GCTCTTCCTGGTAGCCATGTGTTGTCCTGATCTGTTGGTTCTTTTGATGGGGGAAACTTGGCTGTGTTTCGGCATAGCGGTTTTATTTTGTTTAGGTTTTTAGAGAACCGTAGAACCTCGGGTTTGGGAAGAACCTTAAAGGGCCCCGCGACCAGACTCCGTCTGAACCTTGATAACCCTCTGAGAGCATCCAGGCCGTCATTTGTCGCTCAATGTTGAACCGGTCTCTCTGTGAGCCTGTATTTGCCTGGACCGGTTCCGGGCTCTGGGGACACAGTGCTGAACAGCACGGTCCCAGTGGGAGGCTGAGCAGCAGGAGTCCTGAGGTGCCAGGAAGGGTCAGGAGATGTCGCAGGACAGCTGCCCGTGGCGTGACACGCATGAGGGCCTATGCTGTCGTGTGAGGAGTGGCAGGCGATCCTGTGGTCGAAGGTGGGAGTCGCGAGCAGGGGCTGCTGGGTGCACCTTGGGCTCCGTGAGCTCCAACAGGCAGAGAGGCTGTGCGAGCAGGATGGTCACAGGGCCAGAGCCGCGGCTTCAGGTCCAGGGCCCGGTGTCTCCTGCGCTGTTCCCCCCGCCAGGCTTGTCCCACTTACAAGGTGCTGACTGAAGGGGATCTGCTGCTGGGCCTGAGTGAGACCTTAGGGGCAAGTGAACCCAAGCAGATGGGTTTTGCACCAGTCGCCACTGGATCGTCCTGGAACCAGTAACTGAAGGATGATGCGGGTCGTGTGCCCTGGCGGGGGTGGGGAGCTTGCCTTGGATTAGGGGCTGGGAACAGGGCCTGTTTCCAGAGGAACTGAGTCACGCGTCCCTGCCGCCACCCGGCCCTCGGCTCTGCGGTCCCCCCCATCCCGATGCCTCTGTGTCCTCCACGCCTCCTCCTGGGGCTGGTGGGGCGGGTCCCTGCCTGGCTCAGCCGCCGTCACCATTCAGACGTGATGGTGCCCGCGAAACCGGACACAAGCACGATCAGTCATGTGAACACATCCATGCTGCAGAAGGAGCCTGAACTCTAGCGATGGGTGGTGAGAGGAGGGGCTGGGGGGAGGGAGCGAGGGGCTCCCGCGTGGGGGTGATGAGACGGAGCACCCAGTCGGGGTGACAGGCAGCAGTGACGTCTCACTTTTTGCAGGGATCCAGGTCCGGCACGACCAGGATCTGGGCTACATGCACCACAAGTTCGCGATTGTGGACAAGAAGGTGCTGATCACTGGCTCGCTGAACTGGACCACTCAGGCCATTCAGAGCAACCGGGAGAACGTGCTCATCATAGAGGATGAGGAGTGCGTGCGGCTCTTTCTGGAGGAATTTGAGCGCATCTGGGAGGAGTTTAACCCCACCAAGTACACCTTTTTCCCTCACAAAAAGGGAAGTCGCTGAGACGCCTGCACGTGGGGAGGTGGGGCCGGCGTCCCTCGAGCTGGAGCGACCCTCGGGGGCCACGGCCACATTCGTGCTAGGAGCCGCGCGCTTCCGGGGCCGGAATCCACGTTCCGTGCAAGGAAAGCCAGTCCCGTTAAATTCTCCTTTGTTAAATGGTACAGTTCCCTAGAGAGAGTTGGGGTTTACGAGGAAGAGGCCATGCTGCAGCGCAAGGGCGGGCTTTTGGACCGGGTTCCGGGTGCCTCCGTCAGGGTTGCGCATGCAGGGAGGGCCACCGCCTTGTCATGGAGGCCGCTCTGAGCCCCTTGCCTGGTTCTGGGGCCTCCCCGGCTTCCCCTGACCTGTCGGTCCAGCCCTCGGGCCCCTCAGTGCTCGCTCAGCCCCCATCCAGCTGGCGGAACCTGGATGGCCAGAGGGTGACGGTCCCTCCCTCCCTGCTGTCTCCAGCTCCTGGGCACGGCAAGGAGTGGCCGTCATCCTTGGGAATCACTCAGTAGAAGGGATGAGCACTGAGAGCTTGGCGCCTGGCAGCCCCTGGCGTGTGTAAGGTGAAGTGAGCAATCGTTAACACGGGGAGACAGGAGTGTCCAGAAGCTGCTTCTGTTTCCACGTGTTAGGATTTTAATTTTTAGCATTCTCACATTCAGAGAAATTCGGTTGTGCATTTAGAATTGACCTTCACCGTGACACTCGTGGCTTTGCTCAGTATCACCGAGGCGAGGCGGGTCCCAGGGGTGGCCTCACTGGGCTGTCCTGGTTCCCGGGGCAGGGATGTGACATGTTTGAACTGTCCCGGAGGCAGCTCCGAGGACATCTGGCCAGCAGTCGCGCTCTCCTGTCGCTCAGGCCCGGTGGGCACCCCTGGGTCTCCCTCATCTCCCAGCCCCTGGGGACCCCTCCCCCACATGGCGTGTTCCCCTCGATTTAAAGTTACCTCTGACTTAGAGTGTCAGATACGTAAACCCGAAACTTAGCTTTCCTTACTCGACCAAAGCTGTGTTCTCAGATTGGAAGTCACAGACGTGGCTTCACAGTGACCGTGTTTCTCCCCTGAGCTGGGCCCGCCGCCTCGAATAAATGCGCTCTCCCCTAGTCGACTAGCGTTGTGTGTTTCTGCCTTTTGTTCATTCGAATGGTGGCTACTTATTAAACAAAACTGTTTTTGGTGGTGGTGGGGGCAACATCCAGCTATTTAGAAACCGTTGGCCAAGGCAGGAGCCTCTCGAGGAGTGAAGACTTGGGGGTGTTGCTTGGGGGACCCCCAGTGCCTTCCGAGTGTCCGCCCGGCCCGCGCGGGGCCTGCACCTTCCTTCCGGAAGCCGGCAGTGTCCGGAGTCCCAGCACCGTGCGCACCGGACCATCCAGCCCCACCATCGAGGCTGATGTTGCAGAAGTTGTGAAATGAGCTCATCTCACGTAGTTTTTGACTTAATGTAATTTTATTTATATTGTTGTAGTTATTGTCATCGTAGCCGTGGGAATTTGAATCTGAGCTAATCAAGTTCCAGATTAACAGCCTTTCTGAAAGGAAAACAACACTTTCTCTGAGGGCCTGGGTGCTGACGAGGCTACGGCACTAAGATCAGCCTCCACTTCGGAGGCTGTTCTGTCCCTTGAGAGTGGATGACCATACGAGGTGACCAGAGCCCCGCTCTGACAGGAGAGGCGTGAGGAGGGGCAGCTGGGCTGGGGGCAGGGCATAGGCTGACCCCGGCGTGTCTGGTTCTCCAGGAGAGCCAGAGGGTTCACGGCCGAGGCTGCGTGGTTCCCAGGTCTCCGGGTCGTGAAAGCAGGTGAGCTGAACCGTTGGTATTTTCTTGATTCAGAAGGTAGTTCAGGCCGAGTCAGTGGCTTGTGCTGAGCGGCAGTTGTCTGGGGGCTCATCCAGCGATGGGCAGGCACACCGAGGAGACGCCCAGAAGTGTGGCTGACATCCCGCGGGCAGAGGACACCAGGCAGTGACCTGAGCACGGCGGGGAAGAGGCCGGGAGGGGACTTGTGTGGCGTGTCATCTGAAGCTGCACGCTTTGTCCACAAGATTCTGTCACGAACGGAACCATTACAGGAGGGAATCAACCCCCAGGAGGCTTGGCAGTTGCTCCCTAAGAGGCATCGAGGTGGGCTCCCCTCTTACTGCCCCCCCGCCCCCGCCCCACAGGCTCCTGGCCAGCCTCGTGATTTTGGTTCAAAGTCGTCATTTTAACTACGGGGCAGTGACGCAGCTTAACAAACCTGACAGGCAAAGTTAATTAAACACTGGCACAGTTAACGTGTAAAATATTTTAAACTCATGTAACCCTTGTGGTAACAAAAAAATGTCCTGGTAGTAGTTTGTCCCGTAGCTGTCAAATACACGAGAATGTTGGGTTCAAACAATGCAGTTCCATTGTATTTAAAGCACTGTATTGGTTGTACTGAATTGTTTTTTTGTTTGTTTGTTTGGCGGTAGGCGGGCCTGTCACTGCCGCGGCCTCCCCCGTTGCGGAGCACAGGCTCCGGACGCGCGGGCTCAGCGGCCATGGCTCACGGGCCCAGCCGCTCCGCGGCACGTGGGATCTTCCCCGACCGGGGCACGAACCCATCGGCAGGCGGACTCTCAACCACTGCGCCACCAGGGAAGCCCCTGAATTGGTTTTTAACGCAAATGACTAGTTTAAAAAAACACTTCACTCAGATTCACATACCATAAAACTCACCCTTTTAAAATATGCAGTTCGGTGTATTAACATTATATTAAGAGATTATCAGTTATTAGTATATTAACAGAGTTGTTATTTAGTTGTTATTTACTATGTTAACAGAGTTGTGCAGCCATCACTACTATCTGCTTTCAGAGTGTTTTCTTCACTCCAGAAAGAAACCCTGTTTCTGTGGATTTACCTGGTGTGGATGTTTTACATAAATGGAATCCACAACATGCGGTCTCTGGTATCTGCCTCCTTTCCCTGAGTGTAGTGCTTTTGAGGGCTATCCATGTTGTAGCAGGTGTCAGTATTTTACTTCTTTTTATAGCTGAATAACAATGCATTGTATGGACAGAACACATTTTGTTTACCTGTTCGTCAATTGATGGACACGGGGGTTGTTTCCACCTTTTGTCTGTAACAAATACGATGCTGTGAACATTCACATACAAGTGTTTGTGTGGACATGTTTTTGTCTCTCTTGAGTATATACCCAGGAGTGGAATTGTTGGGTCATATCACTCTGTTTAACCATTTTAGAGACTGCCAGACTGTTTTCCAAAGCGATTGAATCATTTTACATTCCCACCAACAGTGTATCAGGGTTCCTTTTTCTCCACATCCTCACGAACAGAAAGCTATTATTTGACTTTTTAAAAAATTAGTTTTAAAAATGGAGGTATAACTGAGGTACAATATTATGTAAGTTTCAGGTGTACAACAGTGACTCACAGTATTTAAGGGTTATATTCCGTTTGCAGTTATTATAAAATATTGGCTTTATTTCCTGTGTTGTACTAAATATCCTTGTAACTTATTTTGTACATTGAAGTTTGTACCTCTTAATCCCCTACTCTTGCCCCTCCCCCTCCCATCTTCCCACTGGTAACCACTAGTTCTCTAGATCTGTCTCTTCCTTTTTTGTTATGTTCACTAGTCTATTTTATTTTTTAGATTCCACATAAAAATGATATCATACAGTGTTTGTCTTTCTCTGTCTGACTTATTTCACTGAGCATAGTATTCTCCAAGTCCACGCATGTTGTCGCAGGTGGCATTATTTCATTCTTTTTTATGGCTGACTAGTATTCCATTGCATATATGTACCACAGCTTCTTTAGTCATTTACCTATTGATGGACACTTAGGTTGCTTCCATACCTTGGCTGTTTTAAATAGTGCTGCTATGAACATTGGGGTGCATGGATCTTTTCCAATTAGTTTGTTCATTTCCTTTGGATATGTACCTAGGAGTGCAACTGCTGGGTCACATGGTAGCTCTATTTTTACTTTTTTTAGAAACTGCCATACTGTTTTCCATAGTGGCTGCACCACTTTGCATTCCCACCAACGGTGTATGAGGGTTCTCTTTATTTCACATCCTCACCAAAGGGTGTTATTTGTGGTCTTTTTGATCATGGCCATTGTGACTGGTGTGAGGTGGTTTTTCTTTTTTGGTTTTTTTTTTTTTTTTTTTTTTTTTTTAGTTTATGTATTTATTTTGGGCTGCGTTGGGTCGTCGTTGCTGCACACGGGCTTTCTCTGTGGAGAGTGGGGACTGCCCTTCATTGCGGTGTGAGGGTTTTTCATTTCAGTGGCTTCGCTTGTTGCGGAGTACAGGCTTTATGCATACGGACTTCAGTAGTTGCAGCACCCGGGCTTGACAGTTGTGGCTCAGGGGCTCTAGAGCGCAGGCTCAGTAGCTGTGGCACATGGGCTTAGTTGCTCTGTGGCACGTGGGATCTTCCCAGACTGGGGCTCAAACCCGTGTCCCCTGCATTGGCAGGTGGATTCTTAACCACTGAGCCACCAGGGAAGCCCCATCTCATTGTGGTTTCAATTTGCATTTCCCTGATGGTTGACGATGTTGAGCATCTGCTTATGTGCCGGTTAACCATCTGTGTTTTTTATTTGTAAAAAAAACTTCTGTTCAGGTCTTCTCCCCATTTTTTAATTGGGTTGTTTGCTTTTTTGATGTTGAGCTGTATAAACTGTTTATATTAATTATATTTTGCATATTAACCCCTTATCAGTCATATCATTTGCAAATATTTTCTCCCATTCAGTAGCTTGTCTTTCTGTTTTGTTGACGGTTTCCTTTGCTGTTTTTAAGTTTAATTAGGTTTAACTTAATTAATTTAAGTTTAATTAGGTTTCACTTGTTTATTTAAGTTTATTTATTTATTTTCTGGGGCTGCATTGGGTCTTCGTTGCTGCTGTGGACTTTCTCTAGCTGCAGCGAGTGGGGGCTACTCTTCGTTGTGGTGCGCGGGCTTCTCATTGTGGTGGCTTCTCTTGTTGCGGAGCACGGGCT